GGTGATGAGCAATATGAAAGAGGAAGCAGTCAGCCAACGTATCCACAAATTCGTCGGAGATGTCGGTGATATTGCACTTAATGAGGGAGAGTGGGAAGAAGTTCCAAGGGAAAATGAGAGAGATGATGATTCCGAGGCCACCCTATCCCAGCTATATTATTCACGTATCGAGTCCCAACAGCAACAGGGTTGGGATGAACACGACATTGTAGGTGAGCATGAAGGATGGACAAGCTTCGGGGATTTTGGATTGGAAACACAACAGAACACTCAGGGATTTGGATATAGTCAGACGCCTGCTAATTTCGATGATTCGTTTTTAGATCGAATCAATGAATTGTTAAACGAATTCAATCAATGGCACCAGCGTGACCAAGAAGAAGAACGACGTCGTCTGTCATTTTATTTTTAGATCGTATGTTACTAATTGTATGCTTTATTGTAGTCCATGTATGTTGATATACTTATTCCATGATAATTCTATGTTTATCCTTTTGTGTGACGTAAATTAAATAGTAAATATTAGTTCCTGCAGGGATAAAACATATCAATATTCGCATATTCATGTAAAGAAATGAAAATTCTTAATGGAGTACCCTCATTTTATATTGAATTCCTAAAAAACAATATTTGTAATGAATTTTAATAATTTTTTCGGATTTTTTTTAAGCTTTAATATTACCGATTCACCTGATTCCCGATCCGGATCGCTGATTTGCCGATCCGCATTAGTTTTTGAGGTGTCCAATCTGGGTTACCGATCTGCTTTTTAAACCATTGGTTAAAAGTAATGAAAAAGAAATAAGGAGATTTATTACATCTACAAATCCGGCTGAACACACACACACAGTACAAGAGGTAGCAACAGTACAAGAGGTAGCAGCAATACAAGAGGTATTATTTAACGTTTGGGTAAGAACTTCATTGAGTTGTTATATTTGTGAGGAATAATGCACTAAAACGAAATATATTTGTTTTAGCTTGCTATGTATAGGAATGCTATAGGTTCCTTCAAAACTAGACTTGCCAGGAATTCTCTAACTTAGATGGATCCAGGTTATCCCCTAGCTAATATTTTGTTCATTCATATATTTAATCTTATGAATTGTTCTTGCCCTTACAATGTTTTTTTTATTTTAATCCAACTGAATGGTGGGAGATATATGGTACTGATGCACCTCCACCTCTTCATCTAATATTGGCCCACTGAGCTCATATGCCGTCGGGGGTTTTACCCCGGGCCCGGCTCTCTGGATTGCACTAACCATAGGTGGAAAATATAGGCTATTGGCTGCATCAAAGGGAATCCCTTTATCATACCAATATATCTTCTCAACATGTTTCTTGTACCTTTAACCATGCCTTTTAGAGTCATCTGTTGTGACTTAGGTTTTGAGAGAAATGGTCTATACGACCATGATCTGCAATACTGGCACTCTTAGATAAGCTAGGAACTATTTCTTCAACGTTTGATTCTTGTTGGCACATACTGCCACCAACCCCTACGTACATATTTGAG